TGTCCTCTGACCCCTTCTATTCTCCATCTACACCTCCTCCTTCTGACCCCTTCTATGCTCCATCTACACCTCCTCTCTCTGTCCTCGGACCCCTTCTATTCTCCATCTACACCTCCTCCCTCTGTCCTCGGACCCCTTCTATTCTCCATCTACACCTCCTCCCTCTGTCCTCGGACCCCTTCTATTCTCCATCTACACCTCCTCCCTCTGACCCCTTCTATTCTCCATCCACACCTCCTCCTCCTGTCCTCTGACCCCTTATATGCTCCATCTACACCTCCTCCTCCTGTCCACGGACCCCTTCTATTCTCCATCTACACCTCCTCCCTCTGTCCTCTAACCCCTTCTATTCTCCATCTACACCTCCTCCCTCTGTCCTCGGACCCCTTCTATTCTCCATCTACACCTCCTCCCTCTGTCCTCGGACCCCTTCTATCCGGAGCGGAGCAGCAGGGGATGGGAGACAGTGGAGGGACTCCACTTGCCCAAGAAATAACATTGAAAATACAATCTCCCAATATCACCAAAACTGTCTGCTCCTCCCCAGATCCTGTTCTCTTCCTCCCTTGTCACCTCCAGGACTTCTCGAGTCTCTCCAATCCTCTGGAACTCCTTACCCCAATCTATCTGTCTGCCTTTATGGGATACCTGAAGATTCATCTCTTCTTGGAAGTCAGTCCCTTCCACCTAACTTAAAGTGACATTAAAGGATACATTATTCCCCCTACCCCCCATGTTAATGTCAGCACTTACCTTAAATGATGTCTCTTAATCCGATCTTCTTCTTTCCTCATGTTTTCATCTGTCCTTCCAGCGGTGCGGCGGCTCTCCGATCCAGCGCTGACTCCTTCTGATCCAGCGGTGTCTCCATAGACTTACCTTGCGTCTCTGCTCGTCTCCCGGCCGAGAATCTGAACTGCGCATGCGGCTGCCCCAAGATCTTTTGCGGCCGCACGAGCAGTTCCGGATTCTCGTCTCGTGAGCGCGCAGTGATAACGAGGTATGTTTAAACCGCTGTTAAAGCGTTTTTTAAAAACTTTTTGCCTATATCTACTGCTTGTGCTTGCTAGCAGTAGATATAGGCAAAAAATCCGGAGGCTTTAGAACTCCTTTAACCCCTTCGTGACTGACGACGTACAGTGTACGTCGCCAGCATCGGGGCTGTTTAAACAGACTCCCGGTGACTTTTGCCGCCGGGACTCTGTTTAAACTTGTAGAGCCGACTGTCGGCTTTACAACAGAAGCGATCCTGGCGACTTACCTGTCGCCAGATCGCTTCTGCGTCCCGAAGAAGGGGCCGCCCCCCCCCCCGCCGGACACCCCCGCCGTGCTTCCCGGGCTCCGTTGCCCCTCCTACGGGCCCGGGACCGGCGATCTTGGTGTCCGCGGGGAGCTGGGGAGGAGGTCGACGAACTTCCGTTCATCGATCCCCTCCCCGTTCTATGGGACCGGGAGCGATGCAGATTGCATCACTTACAGTCCCTGGAATCTAATATTTAAAAAAAAAAACATAAAAAAAAAAAATTTTAAAAGTCCCCCGCCCCCGCGAGCACGCGCGTCGCCACGTAAACACGCGTCGGGTGCGCCTACGTATGAAAACGACGAACGTGCTACACATGTTGGGTATCGCCGCGCACGCCGGAGTGAGAGCAATAATTCTAGGGCCAGTATTTTGGGGTATCTCTAAATTGATGACCTGTGGGGGCTTTTAAAGCGTCTTCTATTGACTTTTTGGGGTACTGCAGTTTTTTGCCGTTTCATGGACGCACGCAATTAACATGTAACCTGGGCATGTTGGGTATCGTTTTACTCGTTGTATCCTCATCTTTTATATGTCATTTAAAAAACTTGGTATTTTGTTGTGCTTTGGGGCATTAAATTACATTTTTCACTAAATGTTGGGGTTTAATAAGGAGTTGCGCTAATATTGCGCAACATAAAAATTTGCAACTACCACCATTTTATTCTATAGGGTCTTGGCATTCAGAAAATATATAATGTTGGGGGTTTTAAGTCATTTTCAGGCCTAAAATGTGGAATATAACATGGGTGCAAAAAATGAAAAAAGGGCCTCAGTCATGAAGGGGTTAATATCATTTTACTGCTTGCCTTTATATTATACAGCGCTACACAGACTGTTGGCGCCATCTGATTCACGTATATTTACAATTCCTGTAGCCCCGCCTCCGTCTATGGGATAATATATGACATCATCAGGGCGGTGCTGAGGACACTCTCTGCCATGTGACTAGTCAGCTGTACGGGAACGTGTACAAGTCCAGTAGGAGCTGCGGGGACGCGTACGATGGATGCATTACAATGCAAATGCAGCAGCAAGTGGCTGACTTCTTGGAAAGCAATATGTCATAGGGAGCGGGCACATTTACACGTGACTTCCGGTGTGGGCGGGCTCAACTAATCACTCCTCTACGCTCTGCCTCAGGCGGCCCGGTGGGCGGGAAGAGGCGGACACACCCTATAGCGGTGGGGGCGTGGCCAAAGCAAACGAAGAATGGAGACTAGCGGGATCCTCCGCTTCATATCTGTCATCTCCATCCTCCTGTGTGCGACAGGTGACGTATATGGGGGCAGAGACAGTCCACCCAACTCAGGGATTTCATAATCCCAATCCTCACCCCGCCCTGCACCATCATCCTCACCCAGCCCCCTCATCATCCCCATCCTCACTCAGCCCTTTATCACCCTCTTATCTCCAGTCCTTACCTAACCCTTCAACACTCCTCTTATCCACATCCTCACCCAGCCTTTCACCGTCTTTCCCATAGTTACCGTCATCCCCATCCTCACCCAGCCTTTCACCATCATCCAGCTCTGTACTGTGATCCTTATCCTCACCTAGTCATGTGACAGTAAAGTTTACCCCTCTCCCATATAATGAATGCCGGCGTCCCCCTCCCTCTCATATAATGAATGCCGGTGTCTCCCTCTCCCATATAATGAATGCCGGCGTCCCCCTCCCTCTCATATAATGAATGCACGCCCCGCTCTATACATCGGGCGATCAGACTCCGCCCAGAACGATTCACCCCTGTGATTGGAGGAGGAACAGTTTGCAGTACCCATCCCCCGGAGGTTGCCTGTGAGGACGGTGCAGGAGCTGTCATCTTCATCCTCTTCATCCACACCCGGGACAAGCTCGCGGGACGGGATGTCAGAGACTTGTGCGGCTGCATGCTGGTCCCTGGCCAGTGCAGAATGAGGATGACAACCCTCCTGCATTCTGTCCTGACAGGTTCTCCTTAAAGGGGCACTCCACCCAGATGATGACTTTACAGTTTTAGGACTTGGGGTACATGAGTCCTCGCCCCTTCCACAGAGTCTTGCTCCTTCTGCTGCAGAGGACTGAGAGTCTCGGTGCCGATGTTGTGTTGGGCGGAGTTGGGAACGCAGTGCGATTGGTAGCGATCTGTCATGTGACTTCTCCTCTCCCGTCTTCCCTCCCCCCAGGATTGGGCAGCGCTCGGGAAGTCCGCGTCCAGGAAGGACCGCTGTACCGCGTCGTAGACAACCCCATCTCCATCCGCTGCAATGTCAGCGAGTACGAAGGACCGCCCACGCAGAACTTCGAGTGGTTCATGTACCGGCCCTCGGCCCCGGACATCTCCATCTCCATCGTCAGCACCAAGGACCCCGAATTCGCCTACGCCGTCTTCTCGGGCCGCGTCCGCAAAGGCGACATCTTCATCCAGCGTCTGAGCGGAGACAGCACCGAGCTCCACATCAAACAGCTCCGCGCCGAGGATGAGGGCGTCTACGAGTGCTACACGCCCACCACCGACTCCCGCTACCTGGGGAGCTACAGTGGCAAAGTGGCCCTAGACTGTCTACATCATCCCCTCTGCAGCTGAACCTGGTGCAGGGGCGGGAGCTCCACCTGTCCTGCTCGGCATCCGCGGACTCCACGCAGCACACCCACCTGTCCGTGACGTTCGGGGTCAGCGATCCCGGGGCCCCGGTGGGTCGGGGGACGTTACGTAACATCATCTCCCTAGGGCGGGACTTCACCGTGGAGCCGTCCAAGGAGCATCAGACGTACGGCGAGCGATACCTGAACGGAGAGCTCCGCCTGGAGAAGACTGATAACAGCACCTACAAGATGGTCATCACCCGCGTGCGGCCCCAAGACACCGGATCCTACCACTGCACCGCCGCACAGTGGATCCAAGACCCCGACGGAAGCTGGCAGAAGGTCACCGAGAAGAGATCCGTGCTGGCCCAGCTCACTGTCCAGTCTGTTGGTAGGGATGGTCATGAGGAGCCAAAGAGCTGCTGAACATGGGTGGAGCCTCTGCCCTTGTCCCCCTATCTCCATCCCCGTCTTCTCTCTACACTTCACCCCCATGAATCCCCCGCTCTCCCTCTCTACTCCTCCTCTCGCTCTCTCTCTC